TTTCGTTTACTGCTGCTGCTGTATGCTGCTGCTGCTGCTGCTGCTGCTCTTGCAGGCCGTCCGCTGCAGCCGCGTTCTTTCTTCGTTGCTGCATTCTGCTGCTCTTCTAGCGCGAACAGCAGCAGCAGCAGCAGCAGCAGCAGCAGCAAAAACTCCACCCACGTTTGGGGGCCCCAGGGCGCCAGACAGGGGCCTCGGAAGGGAGGGGCCCCTGCTGCTGTCTCGGCTGCAACGGCGGCTGCATGTTGTACTTCAGCAGCAACAGCAGCAGCAGCAGCAGCAGCAGCAGCAGCAGCAGCAACAGCAGCAGCAGCAGCTATGGCAGAGGCCTTTGCTTCCTCTAGCTGCTCAGAGTATCAGCCAGATTGTGTGGGCCATGGCTGCAACGGGGGTGTTTCATGTGCAGCTGCTGCAGCAGCTTCTGCAGCAGCTGTTGCTGCAGGTGCTTCGCCTTCTCCCTCCTGCTGCTGCTGCTGCTGCTGCTGCTGCTGCCCTCAGCCCCATCTGCTGTCTCAGCGTTGCATGCGTAGCCGCACTGCACAGCAGCAGCAGCAGCTTACGCAGCAGCAATGGATAACACTGCTGCACTTCCTGCTGCTGCAGTTACTGCTGGTGCTGCTGCTTCTGCTGCTGCTCGTGCTGCTGTTGAGTTTGCTTGTGCGTGTGCTGCTGCTGCTGCTGCTGCGGTGCAGATGCCTAGACAGCTGACGCTGCTCCCCAGCAACCATCTCTCTGCCCTCATATGCGGCCTCTTTGACCTTGGAGTTTTGCTGCCTTCGCAGCAGCAGCAGCAGCAGCAGCAACAGCAGCAGCAGCAGCAGGAGCAGCGAGAGGGTCAGCAGCAGCAGCACCTTGGAGTTTTGCTGCCTTCGCAGCAGCAGCAGCAGCAGCAGCAACAGCAGCAGCAGCAGCAGCAGCAGCGAGACGGTCAGCAGCAGCTGCTGCAGCAGCCGCAGATGCGCAGGCAGCTGCATCGTGCGCTGCTGCGAGCACTCAGCAGCAGCAGCCCACAGCAGCAGCGGGCTGCAGCAGAACCTCTTGCTGCTGCTGGAGGCAGCAACGGGTGTCAGGAGGCAGCAGAGTGGCAGCAGCAGCAGCAGCAGCAGCAGCAAACCCAGGAGCAGCAGCAGATGCAGCAGCAACAGCTGAGTCTGTTCCAGCTGGCTTGCTGTCTACGAGTGGCCGCTGCTGCTGCGCTGCAGTGTGCTGCTGCTGCACTGCAGCAGCAATCTGCTGCTGCTGCTGAAGAGCGCAGGGAGGAGGCGATCCTGGCCCTCGAGGTAAGCACCACAATATCCCCGGATTGCTGCGAAGCTGCTGCTGTTGCTGCTGCTGCTGCCTATGCTGCAGCTGCTGCACCTGCTGCAGCTATTGGTTCTGCTGCTGCAGCTGCTGCTGCTACTGCTGCTGCTGCTGCTGCTGCTGCTGCTTGTGTCCCAGGGCCTCGAGGTGGTGGAGGGTCTCCTCCGTTCCACCGACTTCACCCCGCTCGTGCGGCAGCGCCAACAGCAGCAGCAACAGCTGCAGCAGCAACAGCTGCAGCAGCAGCAGCAGCAGCAGCAGCGGCAGCAGCAGCAGGGGCAGCAACAGCCTGAACCAGCCCTGCGTGTCGTGACCAATGGTCTCCCCCAGGCAAGGAATGCTCTTACCCTTCGCCCTTTCACACGCTGCTGCTGCTGGACCTGCTTCTGCACCTGCTGCTGCACGTTCAGCTGCTGCTACCCTTGCTGCTGCTGCTGCACTTTCTACTGCTGCTGCACTTGCTGTTGCTGCAGTTGCTGCTGCTGTTGCTGTTGCAGCTGTATCAGGCTGCACTAGCTGCTGCTGTCCTTCGCGCGTGGAGTCCCCACGTGCGGCGGCTCCTGGAGGCAGAAGAGACAGCAGAAGCAGCAGCAGCAGCAGCAGCAGCACCGGCAGCAGCAGCAGCAAGAGCAGCAGCAGCAGCTGCTGCTGCTGCTGCTGCTGTTGCTGCTGGTGATGTGGGTGTCTCCTTTGAGGTGTGGACTGCTGCACGAG